GTAGCTCCATTGCGCTGAACTTAGGCTATTTCATCAGAATAAACTCTAATGTTAAATGGCAGAAATACCTGTAGCCCTTGTTTGTTTGTTTGTTTGTTTGTTTGTTTGTTTGTATGGGTCAGTTTTTTTCTAAAGATACATAGATCTTTGAATCATATCTAAGACAACTCACCCAGCAAGAAAAACCTTTTATGTCTCCAACCAGATCTCAATTTTTCCTAGCTAGCTTCATTTGTCCCAGCTTTGAGCACCCTGGTTGGCTGTGAGCATTATACACTAACAGAGCCTCTCTGTTAGTCAGTGACATCCCCTTGTCCAGTCTAGGCACTTCCACGTATTATCTACCAAGTAGACAACCTTGATTCTTACATAATAAAGGATGAAGAAGTCAATTTGAAGAAAGAAAAATAGAGGGGTCCTATGAACTGTTTCAGGAGTGGTATGTCTGACAGTGTGTGAAAGAACAGAATTAAGAGATAACAAAAGCCCATATTTCTAAACATCTTCAGGAACAAATAAATATTTAGTGTTTGAACGGAAAACGACTGAAAGGCAGCCAAATTCAAAGACACTTCACAGATGGTGGTAGGAAAGGCAGGGTCATTTGATGAAAATTGATGGGAGTGTGGTGAGGGAAAGGAAGAGCCAGAAAATGCTTCCAGTTTTCAAGCAGCTGGAGACATTCCGTTGGTCTTGGATAGATAAAAAATTAAGGGGCTGGAAAGTGAGAGAGACGGATGTCATCATTTGTGCTGCTGTGAGCTATAGAAATAATGCCAAACAATTTGAGTATAGCAAAATAAAACAGGTGAATTTATATGCCACTAAATTAGATGCATAATAATTTTAACACATGGTTTGACTGACATATTTTTGAAAGTTCCCCATGTAAATTTCTACATAAAGTGAGTTTTCAAGGGAAAGGTTTAGCTTACTTTTAACAAAAATTTATTTCCCCAAATGCCTAAAACATTTTTGTAGTCATCACTTATATGCAAATTGTTAATGTATCATTTATAAATTATTCCTGTTTGTTCCTTCAAGCAGGTTCAGTGAGACCTCTGCTTGGCCCCATTTTGTGGTTATTTGTTCTAGTTTACTATATGGCCTTGAAAGGAAAAAGCTGACTATCTTTGAAAACAGTTCAAACTTTTTCCCCAATTCAGTCTGGCCATTCTTCCAATTATTTTGACTTAATGAGATTTTACTGTTCTTTGAAAAGGTTAATGTCTCACCATATGAATTGGCTTAGTGGAATTCAGCCATCTCCCCAAAACACTAGTGCAATGTAGTAGAAAAAGCAATGAATAAATTTAGAATCAGGAATTTGGGGTACAAGCCCTAGCTTTCCCCTACTTCATTGTGCAACACTGAATAAATTATCTTGCTTCTCTGACCTTCAATTTTTTCATCTGTAAGATGACAAATCTCGTAACACCTTCCTAAAAAAACTCCAGTTTATGTTTCTAATTTGATGGTATAATAAGCAATAGCCTCATCATTGTCAACAAATATTTACTGAGTGCCACTTGGTGATATGTTTCCAGCAAACTTAATTGTTAATTAATTATTCCCCTGGCTAAACAGATGGCAGACTAAAGCAAATAACACTGTTCAGAGGGTAAGGGAAATGGTATTAGCCTTCACTAGGCCTGGCACTGGGAAATGAAAATGTCATTCTCCCCCCAGGTGCTGCTTCCTCGGGAGATTCGGGTCTATAGTTTATCATATAAACTGTTCCTATTTTCAGGTTTGCACAAGCTATGGAAGTTCTAGAAGCCATCAAATGGGTAATTCCTTTTTAGAATTCTTCATCTACTTAGGAAGGGAGAGAACTGTCTACTCACATTTAATAATAAGGTGGTAGAGTTTGGAAGCTAGAAGCCTCAGAAATTTTTTTTTTTTTCATAAAGCCATTCTCAGGAGCTTGATGACACCCAGATTTATATCTCCAGCCTAACCATTACCCAGAAACATGCACTTGACATCCACCTGACCTTTAGACCCAAGCTAGCCCTTACCCTGGGCCCTGGGCCTCAGGGCCTGTGCCAGCTTCCTGTGGTTATCCAGGAAGAGTGTCCCCAAACTGGACCTGGTCCTGCATAGGTTCTGGTTACCAGACGCTCCTGCTCAAATTTTCTAAGTCTCTCTCTAGTGGCTAGGACTGGTCAGGGCCAGCTATGCCATCTGGGAGGGGTGCCTACCAGTTTCTTCCCTTCTGGGTGCTCGATGACCCTCTACATCCCCTTCGTATGTATCCCACTTCCACCTTACTCCTAGAGTCAACCAAGTGCTCCAAGGAGCCTGGGACTCTTGTAGGCCCCTGTTCCAGGAGGGATGCCTGGTGACAGGGCTCCCAGTGGCAAGTACAGTGTTTCTGTCTCAGAATTGGGTAAGATTGGGCTGCCTGATATAGTGCTGACACTCTGCTTTTGCAGGACTCATGTCACACACAGGACAAGTTCAGGGCCTTGGGCCACTTGAAGGTCTACCGCCAGCTCTTGCCTTGAGTGGCCAGTGGGGGCCTTGCATTGGTTCTCGCCCATAGGGGTTCCGACTTCAGTTCTGCCCACAGTCCACAGCACTTGAGGACAGCAGGGGTGGCAATGGGTGCTCTTTATCCTGTGTGTCCTTCTCCAGACACCATCACTCCTACCACCACCACCACCACCACTGTCACCCAGTGGTCACCCCCCTCCACAGGCTCCACCACACATATCAGGCCTCCTCCAGGAGGAGGCCATGCCTGACCAGGCCATGCCTAATCCTCCGAGGGCTTTCCAGTCATTGCTCCACCATATCAACAGGCTATTCCCATCAATGTCCTCTGCTTCTTATGGATATGGTGCTATCTTGGTCTCCCCAGTTGGTATTAAATCATGCCAGATGAGGGATGGACATTCTGTGAGTGAATGGAACCTCTCTGCCAGCCCTGCCTCCTGATGGAGGTGTGTGGAAGGCAGGAGCGGTCAACATTGAAAGAGATCACATTCTAGGAGAGCACTGTTCATGCCCTACAGACATGGTTGGAAGATGTACTCCTCT